ACTGGAGATGAAGGACCACCATGTGATTATGTTTATGGCATATATGAAGGACCACCATGTGATTCAAAAGAAAAAAGGAAATTTTACCCATGTTGTATTTATTTAAGATTTTAAATAAATAAAGCAGTGCAGCTTCAAAACTCTTCTTTGCTTATGTTTTAAAGGAGTGAAGGAAATCTGATCATATTCGTAATTTCTTAGCTTGTTTTTCATGTGAATGATATATATGGTTTGGCTGCGAACTTTTCTTAAAAAAAAAAAAAAATAATAAAAATAAAATAAAAATAAAAATATGTCACAACAAAGCCAAAAACCTAAAAAATTAGCAACCAAACGAACCCTTAGTTTCAGTCTTGCTACATGCCTAGAAAAAAGATTCTGAAAAATATCCAAAATTTTAAAATGAATAACCAATATTCACTCAAAATTTGATCTCACAAAATAAATTTAAAGGGTGATTTTATTTACACATCACTAATACTCTCCGTACATACCATTAATATATTAAATACTCTCCGTACATACCATTAATATATTAAATTTATATTCAAATAATATCTTTTAATGAAATGACCATTAAGGACAATATGAGATATATTCTATCCATTCAAAAATTTTATATTTAAAAATACAAAATACTCTTCACACACCATCATTCCTATAGGGTTTAGGGTTTTAACATATAAATATTGTATTTCTTCATTATCTTCACCATTAACATGCACTTATGATATCATTCATTATCAATTAGCTCACTTCATTCTCTTCTCCATTATACTTATTTTTCAAACTCAAAACATTAGTGCCTTTAAATATTTAGGGTTTAAAAAAATTGAAATTAATTAGTTTTGAAAATTTACACATCATGGATAACACTGAGATAGTTGGTTAGGACATAAACATTGAAAACATTGATTTGAAGGTTGAAAATGTTAGTTTATGACTTAGTTTTTTGATTTTTTATTTATCTCGTCCGTATATTGGGAAGATGAGTATGCTCGTCGTGTTCGGATAACCAGAATTGAACTTTTACACAATATTCGATTACTTATATTTGAACAAAATAATTTGTTCAAATTATTAAGATGGACTAAATATTAAATGTTCATACATAAAAAATTGAACATTTTAAGTTAGATCGGTTAAAATAAATTAATTTTTTATTCATTGTTCAGATATAAATTTTTGAATACATTAAGTTTGTTTAACTCTATATTTATGAACATGACTAATTTGATGAATTTGAAACGACAAAGAGAGACGAGAGTTTAAGATCGACAATGAAGATCATCACAGACGAAGATGGAGGCCAAATGAAACACTTCACCGATGATCTGAAACGATGAGACACGACGAGAGTTCAAAACCAATTATATGGAGATTACCAGCGAAGATAGAGGTTGAATGAAATCTTCGCTGGCGATGGAGATCAAGATTGACGAAGATGGTTTCTGTTGGTCTCTGATATGAAGATTGAGTTTTTGGTGTGTGTAATGGTGTGCATTCAAATAGTTAGTGGTGTGTTAATATAGGGTTAGTAATGGAAAGTTAAGTTGTGAATTAAGATATTTTTAACAGGGCGGCTATTAGCTCATACCTAATTTCTTTGGACCCTCCATTTCTTTGAACCCCCACCTTAAATCCTAACATTTAATACCAATTTTATCCATATTTATAATATCATCACACTCAAGTACACACCCACCTAATTTTGCACACCCTCTTTTCTTTTTTTCTAAGTAAACAATGAACGATTGAGAACAACAAATAATTGAGAGATGAATGGACTGTCCTCTCTTCTCCTTCTCTCATAAACGATGGTCTATTTCTCCTTGTTATCGTGAACAACGATATCTCAATAAAAAATCTCATCGAAAATCTCTTCGACGGTCTCTTTTTGCTTCTCAGGTAACCTCCAACTCCCGATCACATATATTTTTTTTTTCATTTGTTTCGGGGTAAAACCCTCAATACATGGGTTTTAGAAGAAAAAATTCTCAGAAAAAACAGAAATAGGGGAAAAATCCTACAAAAATGGAATCGTTCAGTATTCCAATGCCGAACAAAATGTTTATGTTCAGCACTGTATTACTGAACTAAATGTTTCTGTTTAGCACTGTATTACTGAACAGAACCTTAACAGTCAACAAACCAGTACCGAACCGAAAATGATCCAAAATCGTAAATGCAAGATGCAACGCCAACCTCATCATAGTTGTAGTCATCGTCTGCCATTACTTTATAAATATTAACGAATGGTAAAAACAACCAGAAATAAAGAAACTTAGAGTTTGTAATAGAAATTGTTTGTAACGTTAACTAATTTGGAATACCAAACACATTTAAAACCATCGAACAAGACATTAACTGATTAGGTAGTTTAAAATGTTTTTCATTGAAGATGAATACGTGGGTTTAGAATGGTGATGAAAAAGAATATGATTAGGGTTTAGATTGATAAGGAATATGTATAGATGGGGATGGAGGTAGGTGTATAATATTATAGAGTGTCATTCTAATTGTTCTCATTTGGTGAGTGGGTGTTCATTAAAAATTGTTGTTTAATGTAATTTTACCTTAGGATATAATTGTAATATAAAAAAAAAAGTGAGAATTGGAGGATCTAAAGAAATTAAGTAGGTGCTAATAACAACACTAATTTTTAAGTAATAGTGTGTACTAAGAGTGTTAATAATGTATAAATAAAATCACCCAATTTAAAATTTTAATAATTTTCTAATATCTTTTCTGTTTCCCTAACTTTTTCATTCAGTTTAGTAAAGACATCTTGCCACAAGTAGGTGTTTTCTTATGGCGAAAGTGGTTGTGGTTGGATAGTATGAATTTAATACACATGTCGACATGACTGAGAAATGTTTTCTAATCTTGATAAGGTGGACATATATATTAATAATTTTTTTAATAATGAGCTACAATATTATTTTCTACCAACATAAGGAGTAAAAAAATAATATAAAAAATATATAAAGAGTTTTTTTGAAATCGTACGAGGACAATTGCCCCTCTTACTTATTGATATATGTTTCATGTACCATGTACAATTTTAAGATCACATCAATAAGGAAGTATTAAAGGTTGTGTAACATGGGCAAGTTATGTCATTTGTAAATTTCATTGTCATAAATGACATAACTTAATATTGTGGGAGTCCTAACTAAAAATAAAATTTGAATTATAACCAAATATCAAATCAAGCATAACTAAACAACTCTTAAATTATAATCAAGATAATATCATAGTTGATATCACAATGTGTTATAACTAATAACACAGTTATTCATAACTAAGAATACAAAAACATAATTAAAAATACATATTGTACACATCATAAAGAGGGAGGGGTACTATAAAACTTCCCTACATCAATATTATTCTTCTTTTGTTGATCTCAAAAATAAAATAAAATGATTTGGGGGCATTTAATCACTTTTATTTGGAAGCTGTATTCTGCAAAGAAATGAACGAATTTCCCCCCAAAAAAAATTATTTTATTGGACTTAGGTAGCAAGGTCAAATTAAACCTGGTTTTCTTTCTTTTTTTTTAATCTCTCTTCTTCCTGACCTCTTTCCTTGCCATCTCTAGCCATTTGTAGTCATTCAGCTAACTTTTTGTTCTCGAGATCTTTTATTGATTTCGGATAAATTTTACAAAAAAATTACGATTTTTTATGATAAAAATTATAAATATTTAAACTATATTATACTATTTTGTGATAAAAATACAATGGCGAATCTATGGTGTATTATAAAAAAACATAATTTATTTGAAACCCACTGACTATTTTATACTAAAACTTTATTGCAAGTGATGAGGAGGGCGATTAAGGAATCAAGCAAAAGATAAGAGGTTATCGAGTCAAAAATTTATTAAAAGCGGCAACCTACACAAATATTAATTCAATGATAGAAATCTAGAATTTGTTAAAAATAGCCACACAAAATAATAATAATAATAATGAGAATGAATGTAAATTAGAAATACATTTATTTTTTTAGGAGCTTCAAACCATGTCAATTTCTGAATATTTTAAGTCATTAAATCCAAGCTCTAGTCTCTTTGACCAAACAGACACAATTTATCCCAAAAAAAAACTATCTATTGCAACTTATCAGTTGAAATTAATTAAAATTCACCGAACTGTGTTAAAATGTGATACATACCACTCATATAACACCATATCTGTTAAATATCATACATTTCTCTACCTCACTATCACCACCTACCACCACAGGCCACCGTCGACTTTTCCGACATCTTTTTCAGCAACACCAACATTTTTGACCTTGTCCTTATTACCAAACAAAATTTTACCTTAGATCTAATACTTCATACCCCGTTGAAATAAGCTTTTCACCAATTTTCTCTATTATTTACTAGGAATAAACTATAAAACAGAATTCCTTCACCAATATCTAATGATTTTCTTTTCATTTTCATAACCTGACCACAAAAAATAAATAAACACAACATTTTTATTTTCCTATTTTTTTCCACTCAAATCCAAAATCCAAACCAAACTCAACTTGAATCCATCCCCATAAGTTTAATTCACAGGTCCCCATATGTTTCAGTATATCTGGGCATTTTAGTAACCTACTACAAATACGATAAGAGTAAACATGTTTATTTTTAAAAGTTACAAACATGTTTAGTAAAACATTATATAATATTTTATTTTATTTTATACATGTATAAAATGAAGTTCTAAACACCAAGCTGTCAACATGTACAGAAATTTTTTGGTAATGCGGCCCACTCTGGATACATGTTTAGAACTTCTAAACTGGAATGATACGTAATTAAGGTAATCATCAAACGGTACAAAAAGGTCAAATTAAAACCTTCTGAGAATGATAGTAGCTGCCCAAAAATTTCTTTTCCATTTTAGTTTTCAGAACTATTTTACTAAGAGTAAGTCTTAAATTTCCTATAGTTTTCCCCTCCCGGGTACTAATTAAGATGAATGTTTCATGCAACATTAACATTCTAATAAAAATATATAAATAATCCCTCTCAATATCCACGCTTTAAAGGTCAATAAAGAGCGTTCCGCCTCTAGCAGACACAACCCTACCACCACTTCAAATATGAATTTCAAATTCTAGATTGGTTTAATTCAAAGTAATGCACCCTTTCATCTCTCAGACTCCATGAGCATATTACCTTCATGAAATACTCACACCCCTGCAAGTAACCAAAGTAAGTGATCAAAAACAAAAATAGAGGCTTCTAAAGTAACCACTTGTTCATCAATATTTGATTACACATACAGACACACTATGGCTGTTCAGTTATATTTGTGATCAAAGCGAGTATTGTCAGTGCTGCAAACTCAGCACATACACACTTAATGCTACAACCCACTATGAATCAGCAACTTACTAAGTTCAAATTTAATGCACCGACATAATCCATCATGGTGCAATCATTTGTTTAAAATATAGGCAATGTATGATCTAATTTGATCAACTTTTCCACACCTAGCATACAAATTGGTGTTACCTCTTGGAAGCTTTCATCATTTCAAGTTGTATCCTCAAGTTTTACTCGAAGGCTCTAGGTCTATGTATGTCAATCAGGCTACTATCTCGTAATGCATAATTAGACATACTTCAAATATAAGGAAAGAAAACCACCATTAAATAAATTAAAAACACAGGCCTAATAGAATGAAATCAAATGATTTATTACATAGGCCATAAACAACAATCTTGAAAAGTATCAAACTGAACTGAACAGTAAACCTTTTGACTGACAATAACATAAGGAACACCAAGATTGATTCACTAGCCAGTGGGTAAAAATGTCAATAACCTTTGCCTTGGTTATAATATGATTACCTTTGCCCTGGCAAGATATAAATGACAAAAATACAGTATATTGATCCTGTAACCAAAGAAGAAAGACGAGGAAAGGAAAGGATGGTTTGTAACTACAAACGTCTTAATGGAACATATTAGTGGCTCTGATAATGTTCTTGCAGATGCACTATCAAGATTAGTTTTCTCACTCTGTTATGCAACAGAATGGCCAGTCGAGGAGGATATGGAAGGTATGGCGGTTCAAGCAGGCCTTCTGCAACTCGAAGAACTTATCCTCCAATGTCAGGAGAAGAAAGGAGCAGACTCGCACAGACTGAACCATCTAACCGTTGGATTGATCCAGCGTTTCATCCCCTTGCTGCAGACTACCAAGCAACCTTGCAGAGATATGAAGACCATCTCACCTATGATTCTGGCATATCCTTCAATGAATTATACCTCCCCAGGAACGATTATTAATCTCTACCGGAATCGCCCTGGAAATATTACCAGGCACATATGGTCGGATAGCTCCAAGATCTGGATTAGCACTACACCACGGAATTGATGTCGGTGCAGGAGTAATCGATCCAGATTACAGAGATGAGGTAAAGGTCCCGCCGTCCATCAACAAACACAAGAGCTCAAGGAAATTGATGGAGAATTATTCGACCTTATCCTATTGATGCGTCACTATCGCATTTAGGAAGTCATGGTGGACCCCTCCTGTAAATTATTGTGTGGTGTGTGGTAATAATATCAACCTTCCTCTCATTTCAATCACTACTCGGATTCCCGAGAAAAACAGAAACCCTTGCTCCAACAACAACAAGAGTATATTCACTGGTGTGAATCAGAGATGAGCAGGCTGAAGGATGAAGTATCCAAATACAAAACGGAACTTGAAGATCTTAAGCTTATCATGCTTTTCTGTTTCTCCGAGGAGATTTTCAATGAACATGATTTTATTACGAACCTCCGTAAAGCCTTGCATGGCTACATGAATCTTTGTAATCGATTCCCAGCGCATAAAAACGTCGTCAAATTTTCCAAGAGGATGTGGAATTACAAAAATTGCACCTGTCTGATGCATTGCAGAGGGTAAGTTCCACCATTCATTCTTTGGATCTCTTCGAAAAACAAAACACCAAGTCACCAACTAAAGACAACATTAGCAAGTTACAGAAACAGATGTATTTAAAAACTAGGGTAATTTACCTAATGTTGGTGTACCAAATGTGGCAATGCACCCCTCTTCCTCCTTCACAACAGCAACACAGCCCTCTTCCCCCAATCTAACCCCTGTTCCTCCCTCCTGGCAGCGACACACCCCTTTCCCTCTCTTCCAACACCAACCCACTCTCTTCCCAGCCTCCCATTCCTCCCTTACAGTGCTGATGCACCCCTCTTACCTGCTGTCCAACGCTGACCCACCCTCTAAACCCACATCCAAACCCCTGTTCCTCCCACCCAGTGCTGAGCCAAAATAAAAATCAACCATGAAAAAACTCAGAATTAGCCATCACAACATTCAAAATCAGAACCTCTCGGTGGCTACTGTCAAGGATTCGGTGGAAGACAAGGATGACAATCTTCTAACTGGCGATGGCGATTTCATTTCACTTTTTGATTTGGTGACCATTGGTGGGGAGTTTAATATAACTATAAAGATTGGAACTGAGGAAAAAGAAGAGGAAGAGGAAGAGGAAGAGAGGTGAGCTAATAATTGCTCTAATTAAAGTTTGTGAGTGATTAACTTTTTCTAATTCCGAGTTATATGTATTTTATATATAATTTTGTATATCAATGAAATGACTAAATAGCATATCACAAATTTTCCTCGCGCCACGGTCTACTAGTTAGAAGACCAACAGTCAATTGACAGAAATTGGTGTAATTGAAAATACGAAATGCGATACTAGAAGGGTGCCGGTGTAATTATGCCAAAATTGTGGGTCTGAGTGTAAGTTCACCAAATCTCAATTTACCCGCAAAACTAAGTAAACATTCTGCAATAAAGAAAATTCATATCCAGAAAACAATGTGAATGTTTTGTGTTGAAGATAACTACACAATAGTTCCTCACCACTATTAACGTGTGTGTGTATAGAAAGGGAAATATACATAGAATAAAAAAAAATTAATGTACTGATAAACCCTTTAAATTTACTTGAATCTTAACTGGGCCTGAAGTCATATCTTCTGATCATATAGAGCTTAAGGTCATCTATTTCATATTTATAATATTTTCTTCATATTGTTTCCTAATGTTAGTTAATATGAGCTTACGATTTTTCTTAAGATGTAGTGATCATTTACTTTTCTTCTTTTTTATATTTATACATGTGCACACAAGTAAGAACAATAAAATTAATAGTACAACTCTTTCAACACCAGGAAAAGCTATATGCAATCCCTGTCAAAATTATCAATCACATAACCAAATGTGCAGCGCTAGCAAATCCCCAGATACCCTTGGGCCTCGTCACTTAAAAATGTACAGAGATAAAGATATCATAGAATAACATCAATGAGTGAGACTCATAAATTTGTTTACATAACAACTATTGTCAAACCTCTAATGTGATATAATTTGCAATAAACTTTTGTGCTAAGGATGCACATATAAGGTATAAAATTCATGCTGATCTTTGGGTCAAGCAAACAAATCAAAAGCAAAATAACAGAATTTTTTATATAACTCTAAGCATTACTGAAACAAAAAAGGGGAAAGAAAAAAGGACATATAAAATAATAGATAAGAAACAAGGAGGAAAAGGATACTTGAATTCTCAACTTGCAAGAAACTATCAATTATTGGTCAGAAAACAATCAACATGCTAAGACTAAATCCACACATAAATAAACCATTCAAACAAATCAGCACAACTCAGCTAAGACTAGATCCAAAACTAGCTAGGGGCATTAATTGACTTTCACATTTCTCTAATGACAAAAATAACATGGACTTCATATATCGAAATATTTAACCATGGCCACAAGATTCAGATGAGCCACCAATATATCCTTAGTGTTCAAAGCTTTTAGTAAATTCAAACCCCGATCTCATTTAAATTACACCTGATTTCCTGCATATATCAATCTATATAAAGTCCAAATTCCAATTATTATATACCATAAATATGATTATTTCTTTCAAAGATAATTAAAAAAAATATACAACATGACACTAGTTCCTAAAGTAATAAAGAGATTAATAATAGATCTAAAACTAAATTGTTTTTATCTGTCATTGGACCTCAACTCAAGTTATGTTTTCCAAACTTGTAATGTGTTTCTTATGTATCTAAACAATGGACACGCGTATTTCCAAAGTGTCTGAAACGTGTTTGGATGTAAAAAAAGATAAAGAAATAATAAGACACATATGGACATGTGTCCGACACGTATCCAACTATTCGGCTTGCTCGGGGTATGAGATTTTTACCAAACCAAACTTGAAGGTTTTTTGGCAAATCAGCACCAAAACTGATGAGGCAAGTAAACTACCAAGCTGAACCAATTTATATTGGTTCAAATCGATCGGTTCACTAGCCAACAGCCCATCAAAAATGGGGAAAAGGAAAATTCCTTTATATTAATCATGCCTCTAATAATCGAATGTAAAAATCAAACAACTGAAAATAAATGCAATCAACAATCAACACAAAAAGAATTGCGTCATAATGAATAATGTTCAATTTGGTAAGAAAAACAAGACGAAGTGGGGGAAGTTAGTGGTTTAAACATGGCTCGCCTCCAAATTTGAGTCCCTCAAATGGCCAATACTAGATTTACAATCCAAAATAACAGAGATCCAAGGCTTGGATATGCATCTCCACTGGTGCTCAAGAGACCACGTCTCAATGCTCTCTCTATGACTGCTATCTCTTCAGCAATATACTCTCTTGCATCTCTCTCTATAGTAATCCTCTGCTCCTCAACTCTCTGAAACTTTCGCTAATTCCTATGGCGATTGAGATCCTGTGTCTCTTTTCAATCCTGAATTGCCCGAATTGAATGCTCAGAATCCTACTTTTAAGGTTTTGAAAGCTTCACAATCGGACAATTGATGTATTGGCAAAAATTTTCATACTCTGAATGCTGAGAGAATTTCAGCTATCGAAAAAATTCTCAGAAGTCCAGACTTAAATGGAACATTATTGCATTACTGGAAAAAAAATTAAGTGAAAATAAGAGCTTCTGCTCTAAATTTTCTCTCTACCTAATCTCTGGTGCAAGCAAATTGTTACAACAGATCCTAATTTGCAATGTCTACATGTGAGTTTGGATCAAATTTTGAAGTTGAATTTCCTAAAATCCAAGGTAAGAATGGTGCTCCGAAGGTGGCTATTGTATCGCATGAGCTTTCTCTATGAAGAATTCAAATCAAGAATCCCTAAATTTCTTGAACTACGAGAAAGCCACAAATAGGATGTAAGCGAATGACAATCTAGAGATATTGTAATTGTCAAACAACAAGAATTTGAAACCAGATCTGAATATTAAAAGTACTGCATGAAGAATGGAGAATTAGATGAAACAAAATGAATATTGTTGAAATTCTGGAATGAGCAAAAGTTGAAAAGAATATTCACAAACGGGTAGCTAGGGAGATAGCAAACAGTGCTACAGCGAGACAGAATGCAAGGATGAATGGTGAAATTCAGCAAGTGCAAAGAGAAATTAAAGATAAAGACATACGTATTTCAAAAGGAGGAAGATCCAAGACAGAACTATAAAAATCCATTGAAATTTGGTAGATTTAAAGGCTGAAGTACCACAGATGCTTTCCAGGTCTGGAAACCTAAAGGCCATTCCTAAGTAGCACATACACAACATGGACACGTTGACATGTCGATTTTCATAAAAGAAAGTAGGACACAACATGCTTGGTACACGTTAAAATTTTATGTTTTTACAAATTTATTATATATCATATTTATGAATAATTTATTCAAAGATAATAAAAAATATGTAACACAACACATTTTATACATTAAAATTTTTTTTTATAACTTAAACATCAACATATCATTCACATACCAATTACATTCAAAAGAATGCAAAACAATTATCGAACATTGTATTACACACTATGTTACATGGACTCTTCTACTTCCCCTAGTATACCCGTGTCCGCCAAATATGGTGTGTGATATGTGTCAAACACCCGTATCCAATTTAGATACTCAGATCCTCTAAGTTTATCTAATATCTGAAGAAAAGACACTCACATTAGCTAGTAAAGAAACATTTCTAGTTTCTCACACATCAAATTATTTATGTATTCCTTATGCTCCTTAGATCCCATTCAATTTCATGTAATTTCCAAATAATTTACTACATGTTATCTAAGAATAGTAAACAATATGCAATATATATGTGTGTGTTTGAGGTGTATCCCCAAACCCATATCCATTTTGGGTGCATATCTTGATATCCTAAAATTTAAATTTATGAAGATCTAACGTTGGGCACGCACTGCCACCCACACCAGAACCTAGCACTCGTAATCAAGTCCATGTAACATAATTTATACAAGATGTATTCTTCTAATAAGCGTTTTAAAACATATTTCGAATGCATAAGTTGTATTATAAGGACACAAGACATTGTTATAATGAAGAGGTCCACCATATAGGACATGTTCGGAAGGATCAAGATATGTACACGATGTGTTGGTAAAGTATCCAATATTATGCAATTGATTTTTTAATTAAAACACGTTGAAAACATGTCAGACACCCTTTTAGGAGCATCCAAAGGGTGTCAAGTCTGCCACAAGTGTCGGACACAAGACCCTTCCTCCACAGTATTGTTCGTGCTTCCTAGGGCCCTTCTAAATCTTGGGATATAGAGTAGTTGAAGATGAACTCAATAAACTTGGAAATCCAACAGTAATAGAAGAAAATACACTAGTTCTCAAGAAAAAAAATCCCAAAGCCACACATATAGTAATAATTTTGGTGATGAAAAGAACAAGATAAGACTTTGAGAGCTTTAATTTCATCACATATGAATATTTATAAGAATGTTTAATGATGTAGAAATCCATCACTTGCACGTCTCAAATGGGGTAAAATTGTTATTGGGTATAAATGCTTACTCTGCGTCATTAAGCATTGTTAAAATATGCCACTAAAGCAAACAAAAGAGGATATCAATATGGGCAATACTTCATTAAGACAATAAATGTAAATTGAGAAAGCATAGAAAAGTTTTCCAGCAAGCAAACAAAGAACTGCGAACATGAAATCATTTTAAAGTAATATCTCTCAAAATTATCATGCCCAACTAGCTTATTTACCTTGACTAATTACTAATTTTCAGCCTACAAAGCAGTACTTCAATCCTGTAGATCCCGTCCCACACCAAAGCTTGAAATGTTAGAATAGGACCATCAACAGCGTCAGCATCCTTGACATCAAAGGTGATATAATATTGAAGGCCCTCACACAGCTCCCCGTTTGCCTTTACAAACTTCACAAACTCTAGCTTTGTTTTCTACACACAGAATATGAACAAAAGGGGCTGATTAAGAACATTGTGTGGATGTGTGTGAGATTTATAATTTAAAAAGGAGATTAAAGAAACCAAAAAAACAGACTAACTAAATAAAGTTAAATTAAAAAGGAAACACCTCTTTCTCATAGTATTCCTTGAGCGCTAATTCAGAAAGAGTTTTGAGGTGGTTAGCACGATCATTGAGGTCTATAATAGGAATAATTTTACCGCATGAGAAGGACTCTGGAAAGTCCATGACATCAAAGCCCTGCAAGTGTAAGCTCACAATTAGGATAATATAAACAAAGGTGTAGATATATGATTAAAAAGAAAAAGAAGCATATGTACTACCTCACTGTCCTTTATCTGCCTAGAATACTCCTTATATTCCTTGTCAGTCATCTCATGCATTCCAAACTCATCCACATCTTCATAATCTATCTCATCATCTGAATCATAGATATAGACTTTGATAATCGATCTTGGATCTGTTTTTTTCTGATAAAGATGGTGGTGGTGGTGGGAAATCCTCGCACCTTTGCTTCTTTGCCGGTGAAGAAGATGCATTTTCAGATTTGGACTTGTCCCAAACAAAGCTTGTACAGGAAGCCATGTTCGATAATGAAACAAGCACGAAAACCCTAGACAACAAAGCTGTAGTTGTTTTTACTTTCTGACAATCAAAACAAAAGTTTGAACATCCAAACAAACAAAATGAAAAGCAAAACTGCCATTGATTGAACCCTAGGATTGCAGATTGAAAAAACAGAACAGGGTGAGAGGGCAAACAATCACGGGGAAATAAATGATAGAAAATCAAAATTCATTCACAATACAATCCCAATTGAGGAAAACCCCTAACAAATTTATATTTTCTCTATTGAGATTTTTTGAATATGAAATCTGATGCGGATAGAGTGAGTTCAAGAGAGATTTAAGTGCAAAAAAACAAATAAAAAGTAAACTTGGCACAGCACAGGCAGCGATGAATAGCGACGGAACAGGTTAGACAAGAAGGCTGTTGCGTAGAATTATAATAATGCGATAATTATTTATATTTATCGGTGATTCTATTTATTTAGGCCACAAAACTAATTTCTTATTAAAATGAATGCACTTTATAGTTTTAAAAAAAATGTATAATTCCATATTTTTTAAGTTATAATTTAAAAAAATCATAATTAAACATTACTTAAAATATAATTAAGTATCTGAAAACAGAGTGTAAGAGGGGCTAATTTGAGCCCACTAAATTATTTAGGCCCAATAGCCCAAGATTAATGGGCCCGAATTTATTGCAAGTCCAAGAATCGGTGGGCCCAGATTTATCGCCATCAAACGGGCTGAATCGCTCTAAGCCTCGAAGGGGTTCGGATCCACGAACTTAGAGACTTAGAGACTTACTCGGGCCCGGACTCGAAAGGGTGTTGAACAAGCCTAGAGATCCGAGGCACTCGGACTCGAAAGGATTCGGACCTACAAATCTAGAGATCCGAAGCACTTGGCTTCGAACGGATTCAGATGCAATCTAGAAGTCGCTCCGTTAATGAGTCCCAGAACACTTGCGGGCTCGGAGCTTTCCGGGAACCGCCCACGCTGCTCCTTGTGTCACATAAATTGTCGGGGCGTGACACTCTCCCCCACCCAATCCCGTGACGCCCTCGTCACGCAGAAGCATACCGAGCCACCACGTCTCGATATGATCTGTGTCCGCTGCTGCTGGAGCTTGCCTCTTCGCCCTTGCCATGCAGCCTACTCTGTTGCATCCCTGCAAGTGCTTTCTCTTTGTCCTTGCCATGCAACCTACTTCGCTGCGTCCCTGCAAGTGCCTTCCTCTCCGGGCAGTCCTTCACCATGTGCGGTCCGTTGCACAGGAAACACTCGAGCCGTCCTTTGCTCTTCAAGCCCAGCCTCTTAGCCTCGTCGGTGCACTCAAACCTTAGAGTGGCACCTCTCTTCTCCTGCGCTTGTGAAGTTTCCCCCTTAGCCTTCACCCCCGCGCACCGCTCATCCTTCTTTTGGATCTGAGCCTTGTCAGTGCACTCAAACCTTAGAGTGGCACCCCTCTTCTCCTGCGCTTGTGAAGTTTCCCCCTTGGTCTTCACCTCCGCGCACCGCTCATCCTTTTTTTGGATGTGCACCTCCCCACTCTTCTGGGATATCATCCCAAGAAGTTGGATGCTCTCCAGCTGGGCCACCTTCTCTGAAGGGTCTTCACTCTCGGAGTCCCTCGCCTCCTTTCCCTTCCTTTCTATGGCACACAGTTGTTTCTTCTTCTTCGGGCAGTTTCTCACCATGTGCGGTCTGTTGCACAGGTAACACTCAAGCTGCCCTCCCTTCCTCGGAGATCCGGTGCGTTGCCCCTTCCTTCGGCGTTCCCGTCTCTTCTGGGCCTCGCCCTCACTGTGCTCATCTTCGGTGGTCTGAGGAGACTGCCTCCCACCTTTGGCACGGCTCTCTCGGGCATCTCTCGCACCCTCATAGCTCTTCGGTTCCGGCTCACGAATTCTCCTCTTCGGTGAAGCCAAACCTCCATTGCCAGAGATGATGACCTTCTTGCACAACTCCAACTCTAACTCCAAGCTAGCTACTCTTGCTTCCAGGGCCTTCTGTTGGGTTACCTTCTCCTCCAACATCTCCACCCTAGCAACCAAACTAGCAAAGTAGGAGAAAAAGTCACTGATGCGAGATGTGGGCTTACCAGGGCCAACTAGCGCATCCTCAAGCCTAGTGAACTGCTCTACCACACTCTCCATCATCCCCTCGAGTCGCGCCTCCAATGCTGCCATCGACTCCTTCGTTGAGAGCTTCCTCACTGATTGGCAAAACGGTAGAAGTCTACATCGATGACATGGTCGTAAAGACCAAGTGTCACGGACTTAGACTTCGCAAGCCTACCGTGCGGCCTTAGATGCCTCTCAACCCTCTTGGTTGCACCTAAGTCAGCCTTATCCACTCAACCACACTAACACACGCAGTTTAGGTGGAAGAATGCCACTCAACCACACTAACACGCACAGTTTAGGTGGAAGAATGCCTTCACTATACAAGTTAACATTTACAAGTATAGTCGTGTACAAAGCTTACAAGGCTCTCACACTCACACTCACAAGTGCTTCACTCTTAGAGCTCTCTTGGATCTCTAGGTCTCTACGTTCCTAACAAATGAGATCCCTCACCCTTATATAGCCATACCCCTCCTCAATGGATGGCTAGGATCACATTGATCCAAGGGCTACAAACTCTTATCTAGAACATTCCATAGAACTATCTAGGACAACTACCCTATCTACTACATTCTAGAACTCTCCACACTAGTGTAGTACATGGTAGGCTTCTCCAAGACAATCTAGGATGTTCCAGACCCATCCAAACTCAACTGGACACTCCAAGGTTCTTTCACATTCCGGAATTTTCCAGGCCACTCTGGACCCTTCTACCACATTCTAGAGTCTTCCAGCATACTCTAGGTTGGTCTTCCACATTCCGGAACCTTCCAGCGCCTTCAGCATACCGCCCACGCTGCTCCTTGTGTCACATAAATTATCGGGGCGTGACAACAGGCAGCGATGAATAGCGACGGAACAGGTTAGACAAGAAGGCTGTTGCGTAGAATTATAATAATGCGATAATTATTTATATTTATCAGTGATTCTATTTATTTAGGCCACAAAACTAATTTCTTATTAAAATGAATGCACTTTATAGTTTTAAAAAAAATGTATAATTCCATATTTTTTAAGTTATAATTTAAAAAAATCATAATTAAACATTACTTAAAATATAATTAAGTATCTGAAAATAGAGTTATAATTATAAAAAAAAATGAACAAAACTTTTTAAAAAAATGACGTAATTAAATGTAAATATCATAGGTCACGTATATTATAGAATTCTCTGGATAACTTTTCTCTGGAGTTTGGGTCAGTGCTGTGTTAAAGGCACAGTAGTGACTGTTGTGGCTTATTTTGTAGTGCATTATGAAATTATTTTTATAATCTGAACCGTTCATGTTGTAAGGTTTGTTGAGTACTTCATGCCTACTAAAAATCATATTAATCGGATACCAATAACTATGTGATTGATAACCAAAAAAATAAACAAGAAGTTTTTCTTTTGAAAAATAGTATAAAAATATGTAATTCGATCATATAGTTATTGATATCCGATTAATATGATTTTTGATACGCTTGAAGTACTCAACAAATCTTACAAAATGAACGGTTCAGATCATAAAAATAAACCTATAATAAATTTTAAAATAAGGCACAACAGTCCCTTTTCTCATGGTTACATCATAAGTTGTACGTTTATCATGCTATTTTACACCCAAAGTTGCTAATTTTGTACAGGATAAATTCTCTCGATAACTTTTCTCTGGAGTTTGGGTCACTGCTGTGTTAAAGGCACAGTAGTGACTGTTGTGGCTTATTTTGTAGTGCATTATGAAATTATTTTTATAATCTGAATCGTTCATGTTGTAAGGTTTGTTGAGTACTTCATGCCTACTAAAAATCATATTAATCGGATACCAATAACTATATGATTGATAACCAAAAAAATAAATAAGAAGTTTTTCTTTTGAAAAATAGTATAAAAATATGTAATTCGATCATATAGTTATTGATATCCGATTAATATTATTTTTGATACGCTTGAAGTACTCAACAAATCTTACAAAATGAACGGTTCAGATCATAAAAATAAACCTATAATAAATTTTAAAATAAGGCACAACAGTCCCTTTTCTCATGGTTACATCATAAGTTGTACGTTTATCATGCTATTTTACACCCAAAGTTGCTAATTTTGTACAGGATAAAATATTATTTTTTCAATTCGCATGCTATCTATCGGCACAGATATGTTTTTGGATATCATTTCAAATTTATTCTAAAAAAATTATGTAAGTACCAAAAATTGTAGAGTAGTATATACAATTAAATAAATATTCACTAGAATTACACTTTAACCATTTCTAAATCAAATAAATAAAATCTCTTCAAACGCATCTCCTAAGATCATTGCTTCAAATCAATTTTTCAATTTAAAAAAAAATAAATATTTATGTGTCTCACATAATTTCCGAATTAAACAAACAAATAAATAAAAATCTCTTCAAACCCATCTCCTAAGATCATTGCCTAAAATTTGCCATTTCCTCGGAGTAACATTGCTCTATGGGCCGGAGTATCCTTTACGGCCTTCTTACTTAGTCCTTGGCGTTTTGGGCCCAGCTCGGCCCAATTTTTCCCAAAAATTACCCTCTCAGTTATATATATAGTATAGATTAGAATTACACTTTAACCATTTCTAAATCAAATAAATAAAATCTCTTCAAACGCATCTCCTAAGATCATTGCTTCAAATCAATTTTTCAATTTAAAAAAAAATAAATATTTATGTGTCTCACATAATTTCCGAATTAAACAAACAAATAAATAAAAATCTCTTCAAACCCATCTCCTAAGATCATTGCCTAAAATTCGTCTTTTCCTAATATCAAATATAAAATTATAGTTTTTTGACCTTCCAATTTAAAGAAATAAATTAAATATTTATTCGTGCCTCTTCTAAAATATTTATCTAAAATCCTTCCTTCCTTCCCTAAAATTAATAAATAAAATGATCAATTCAAATCTATTCATATAATTTTTAAATTAACAAAATAAATAAATAAAATTTTTCAAAATTAAACAAACAAATAAATAAAATCTCTTCAAACCCATCTTCTAAGTTCATTGCCTAAAATTTGTCATTTCCTAAAATCAAATATAGAAACACAATTTTTTGACTTTCCAATTTAAAGAAATGAATTAAATAATTATTTGTCCATCCTCCAAAATCCTTTACTCCCTAAAATAAATCAAAGAAAGATCAATTCAAATCTGTTCATATTATTTTTGTATTAAAAAAATTAGTAGTGCTATACGCACCAATTAATATACTAATTAGTGTACCAATATAGTTATGTCACTGTCATTTTAAAATTATGACCCTG